TAACTTAACTTACGTAAGTAAATAATTAGACGTTTTTAACCTTTTTAAAAACCTTTAAAACTTAACTACTACGAAAAAGAAAAGGAAGTAGCTTATTACTACAACTAACTACTACTCTCTCTCTCTCTCTCTCTCTCTCTCTCACACACACACACACACACACACACACACGTCCAAAATTGTTGAAATCCTATGCAGATCATATAACATCGTACCAGGAGAAAGAGAATTCCAAGAGCTATTCTCTGTCATACACAAATTACAAGAGCTAACGTACATAAAACTATCCATAGTTAAAATGGACTTACTTGCATGGTGGTAATGGAACTCATCACACCGTTTTCCTCAGGTCGACCAAGCCGACTAGTCTCCTGATAAAACCTGTATACCAGCTCAGGTGATTGATGAAGGATGTTATAATATTGGTGCACAAATGCATTCCCCACCTGCATATTGAATTCCAAAATAAACATTCCGATAAACACGAGCTGGAAACCCACAATATCAGAAACCCTAGGAAATCCTAGAAGTGAACAGCATCAGTACAAAGGCATACCACTTGAGCAGGAGGAACAGGTCCCGCATTAACTTGCTGAGATGCCATTCCTAATGTGACCAATAAGCGTTTTTTTGTAACTAGATCTGAATAAAGGAAACTAAGAGTCAAAAAATCTTTGGCTGATTTGTATAATAAAAAACTACAAAAAGAAAAAAAGTATAGAGCATGATAATCAATGATCACCTAAACCCAAAATCTCAAACAATAAGCCTTAGATTCCCTAAAACCTTTAAAGAACCACCTTTTATGCTTCTTGAGTATATAGATCTCACTCAAAAGTCAACAGTTAAGACAATTTGAACCATAATTTCCACGAAAAATCAAAATTTTAGATTTCCATGCGCAGACAAAAAAACATTTCTTTTATAGATAATCAAATAATAAAACGCTCTCCTTTAGTGAAGGATTTCTTGATATGGTTCCAAAAAAATAAACAAAAAACCTTTAGCTGCAAGGAAATCAAACAACGGATGCAGGAAGGCAATCAACCAACTCCAAAACCACAAAATATTTAATCATAAGGCCAAAAACCTCAAACAACCATCCAGCTGCTTCTCATATTTTATACATCTCACTCAAAATCGAATTTTTATAATTTGAAACCCAAAAGGAAAATAAGATTTCAAAGTAAAGCGAAAACAACTAGTTGCAAGAACAATATACAGAACACTAAGTCCTAAGCCCAAGAACCACACCACTGAATACCACAGATTACACATTCAAATCAATGAAACTAAACAACCAACAGAGATCTCACTCCTAGATCAACAAACTAATACTGCAAATCCCAAAACCAAAAAAATCCTTATTTCAAAATTATAAGATACTTCCAGAAATCGTAATCCCCTGCATAGAAATGTGCACATGAGGATCAATTGACAGAACATGAGGATCAATTGACAGAACAAAACATCAGAGAATTTATTCAAAACACAAGAGATATATGATTACACAAGAAAACAAAGCATGGATCTGAAGCGAACAACTACATTCACAAAACCAGAAGAAAACCAGAAAAAAAGAAGAGGCTGCATGAAAGGTTGATGATGGAAAGAGATGAGGTTATGGTGAAATATTTCAGACCTGTTTCCTCTTCTGGTGTCTCCAGACCAAGCAGAATTAGGGTTTTAGTAGGATCTGGAGAAGCTCCAGAGGAGGGAGGGGACTCTGCCTTTTAACCTTCAGGAGAATAATAATAATAGAGATGGGGGGACTCCGTCCCTCTCTCTCTAAACCTCTCCTTTTGTATCCTTCTCTCTCTACAAATCTCCTTTTGTATCGTAGTTTCTTCGACAACAGAAGGGCAAAAGGCCCCTCTTTTTTGAAGTTGGGGAGATTGTGGTTTCCTAGTCAGAAGAGGAGCTACTCCTGCGGGATCAAATCAATGAAGTATTATGGGAACAAAGTGTGGCTCTTGTTCCGGCCTGGTTTGGCTTAACTTTTCTTTTCTTTTTTCTTTTTTTTTTTTCACCCAGCTTAGTCCTAACCTGGTCAGGGTGGGACCTTGCCGGCCCTATCAGGACAAGGGTCGGACCAGGGCTAAGGCTGGCCCAGCCTAAGTGTGACCCTTAATTTCAAGATGGGAATTTGGATCTTCAGTTACAAAATATTCACCTTTGATTATTGAGATTCTTTTTCATACTGAAATCTACCTTAAAGTCATTTGAAAGGTAGTTTCGGGATGGAAATTTGATTTTGAGTTCCTAACATTAAGAACTCACAAAAGTTTACGCACTCAAATCTTGGGAAGTTTTTTGTCTTCAATCAAGCATGTATACAATGCTTTATCATTTATTTGTATTAAGGTACCTGGTCCAGATAGATGGTCACATTCCTGAAATGTGGAGTCCTAAAAAGATACTAAAAGTAGGTTCTTAACTCTTAACCTGGGAGGGGAGTGAATAAATAATATGTGCCCGAGGGGTCATATAATGCTTCGCTTAAAATACTACAACCCTCTCTCTTTTATCAAAAGATTGTTCTTTTATGTCGTGGTTCCGCAAGTTAGGACCTCAGAAATGAATAAAACCCAAGTTCCCGAATTTAACCTTGTACAGTATAATTAAAAACTTCGAATAATTTTATTTAAACCGTAATAGTAAGTTTGGTTTGCGTGAAAATAATTTTTAAAAAATATTTTTTACTATCATGGAGTGTATGAGAATATTTTCATACCGATTAGTCTTACTACATCAACAAAAATATTTTTATGCAAACCAAACGTGCCGTAAAAAAAATTTATTTTACGAGTCAACAAGTGCAAAAGCCAGACTATTCAACATCCATCTTTAAGATGGACGTTGTGTAAAACGCATAGGATCAAATCAAATATGGACAACATCAAAAACATCTCCAAAAAAATTACATTTTAAAACTTAATTTTTTTTTCATATTTATGATCGTTGAGCTTAGATGATGAATCTCTAAAATTTAAGATCAAAAATTTATTTTTAAGATAAACTTTACATATGGGACCGCACATATACATATGACAACCAACAGCAAATAACTTTTGGTAATCTCCCTATTAAAGGCTCTCATGTCAAATTTTGTATGGAGGAGATCCGCCAGCTTCCTAATATTCCTTCCTGTTCTTAAAAAAGGAAGAGAAGTTTTGTTGGATAAAATAGAGAGAGACAGAGACTTCAAATGATCACTTAAAAAAGAGTAAAAGCGACTTACCCAAATTAAGAAAGTCTTAGTTGAAAGTAAAAATGATGGAGAGAGTTTGTGTGGGGGAAAGTTAGAGAGAGAGTTGCCCAGAGAAAGGTAGTCGTAATTAAAGTTCAAATGAGGGAGATAATTTGTGTTGGATGAGAGAAAGACTTACCAAATAAGGAAAGTCATAATTTAAATCTGAAGTAATGGGCTAAAGTTCAAATGACAGAGAGTTTGTGATCGATGACTAATAGAGAAAGAGACTTACCAAAGGAGGAAAGTAATAATTTGCTTTAGTAATGGGTTTGAGATATAAATATGCTCTCGAAGCATTTCAAAGACGGTTTGGGAGGTACAATATTTATATGGAAAAATGTTTTGATAGGCTGCCGTATCAAAATAAGCAACTCAAAAATTAACGAAAATTATACTTCAAGTGTTGGAAAACTTTCAAATCAATCATCTCGGCCTCGACCATTATGGTTGTAAAAAACAAAATTAGGATTTCATACCCTAAAACTTGTGTATATTGTAACATATTGTCTAGATCATCCATTTCACCCTAAAATAAGTATTCATAGATCCGCAAGGTTTGTATTATATTTTGAGCTATAAATTTGGAAATTGATGTTAAAGCCATCATAAAAATTTCCTATTCCCAAAGTATTTTCCAGACATGATTTCGAGGTGAGGCTTTATATCTTTATCAGGCTTAGTACCAGTTTGGATGTACCCAAAATTAGAATATTTTTTAATTGCAATCCAAAAATCTTGTGAAACAAACTTTGACGCATTTGGACAACTGGTCGATTTTACTAGATTTTTAGATTGAAAGAAAAAATTACTGTCATATCAAGGCAAAAGTTACCATCCAAAATAATTCAAATAAGATTTGAATTTTTTCGGATGAAAGTACGGCTTCAAACGGGAGCCTTTTCTCTCATAGCGCACCCTTGAAAACCCCTTCTCTTCCTGAATGAGGAGAGAATTTTCATTTCTCTCTCTACAAAACCAAAAAAGCCTCAAGCCACACACCCTAGGTGGCATCTTTGTAAGCCTCGACACTTTCTCTCTCGACAAAACTAATTTTTTCTCTCATACCACGAAACCCCTTCTCTTCTTGAATATGCAAAGCATTTACATTTTCGCTCTCCTAAAATACCAGACAAGCTCAAGCACCATCCATGGCAACCCCTGCTCACGCATCATCCATGGCAAGCCCTAGGCGGCGTCTTGAAGCCTCCTAATCAACGCATCCAAAGACTTCTTCTTAGGGCTCTGCTTGGCTGCCCTCACCCCAAAGCTCCCAAACAATCTCTCTGCCCTTGAATCCCTCATCTTCTTTGAAGGGCTCTGCTTGGTCGCCCCCACCCCAAAGCTCCCAAACAATCTCTCCACCCTTGAATCTCTCATCTTCTCTGAAATCACCACTACTTTCCTGTAATCCAAAGCCCCATAATTATTCTCTCTAATCACTGGATTCATGAAATTATTGGAATGGTTACTCAGCAAAAAGATTCACCATCTGCTCGGCCTTCGCACTTCCTTGCTTCAGCTCCTCAGAGCCATATACCTCCGTGAAGCCCTCGAGCAATCAGAGGTCGGTCGAGCCCCAAAACTGCTTCAATACAAAACTGCATTTCCATTGAAGCAGTCCACTGTGTCATTGGAGAGCAACGCGACGATCTCCTCCGATATTTGAGAGAGTGCGCCCTTCAAGATCCTAATGAGTATTTCAAGTGGGAGCACGTGGCCCATGGTCAAAACTGGAGAATCAATATGCCCCGTTTTAGGGCTCAATCTTGTAAGCAAGAAGCTCGGGTGACAGGTTCTGCATATTGTATAAGCAAATTTTTTACTGATGCGAGGGATACAAGAAAACTTTTTGGATTGGCAAGATAATTTTGGAAGGGTAGGATGCAAATTTGCTTTTAATATGTTCACACCATCCAAACAGTCCAGCAGACTAATAAAAAAAGATGATAATATTTCTTAATAAAGGATGAAAAAACTTACAATTTTTTTCAGTGTGAAGTTTTTTTTTTTTAACCCTTAGGTCTTATAGAAACTGCATCCTAATTTTAAGCTCATAGAAAGAGGACAAAAACCATAAATAAATAAATAGTGTGGAAAATTAATAGAAACAAATACTAAGATTTGCATGGTTCGACAAATTGCCTAAATCAGAAACTTCTCTTCTACTTATCAGAAAAATATTATGCAAACATAAAAAATACAAGAATCTATAAGCTCTCTCTTACAAGCTTAAAATACCCTCTCGAATACCACCCAAATGACTAAAAAATACTCACCCCCTTTCTCTATTTTTAGTTATATACACTTTCATCTTTCTACAAATACTTTTTATAAAGAGCTTACACGAGATTCCTACAAATACTTCAAAAAGTAAAGGCCTACTTAAGATTCCCTTTGTTTAGAGTTAATAAATTTATCTTTACATTAGGCCCATGCAACTCTTTTCTTGATATTAAAGGGCTACAAACTAATCCTCCAAAAATAGGTAACTCATTTCCCAATATTAGTAGTCTTCGGTGGTCTTACTAAGGAAAACTGCATCTCTGTGGTAAAAATTTGGAAACGTATATGTGAGTACTAGGAAACATGGACTTCACGTATTAAAACTTTCCCACTTGAAGACATGTTCCCATTATGACTAATCCACTCTAAGAAATTCCTATCTACCGGTTAATAATTATTAAGTAACCATAAGCCCCAAGCAAGTACTGCGTCAAGTAAGCTTAGTCAACATAGAATTCTAAATGAATACATTTGGAAGAATTTAGGTGTGGTACTAATAGACAATAGGATCAGAAAAAGTAGACTTAGATGGGTTGGCCATGTGTGGTGCAGATTTAATACATCACCTATTAGGATATACGAGTTAATTCAAGTGGAATATAAAAAAGGGCAACGAGTATGCCCAAAAGGACATGGCTAGAAGTAGTGAGAAAAACTATAGGAACTTGTAGCCTCACTAAGGGTATGACCCTTAGTAGAACAGAATGGTAGATCAAGATTATTTGTAGCCAACCCCAATTAGTTGGAAAAAGATTTCATTGATGATAATCATGATGAAATTTCTACAATAAAATTCTCACATTTTCTACCACATTAGGAGCAAAGTGAGATTGAACACTTCCTTTCTAAAAATTAGGCACTTTGGTTATCACAAGGAAGCGGTATCCCCTCTTGCTCAACTTGGAACTCACTAAGTAATCGATTTAGCCAAATTGTTTCTTTAGATGCGTAAGTGACATAGACTCAACATCTGTGGAAGAGAAATCTACCACAAACTGGAACTCAACCTCCTAAAGAAAAAAGCATACCTTCTTTTATCTAAGTCAGCTGCAAATACTAACATTATAATTTCTCCCTTCAAATAATGAAGGGCCCACTTCATAGCAGTGCAGTGATTATGACCAAGGTTAGCTAATATGCTCATAACTCATGTGTATGCTCATAACTCATGTGAATCGTACTATTTGGCACTCTGCATATTGAAGTGTTGCAAAACACTCTATACAACTCTTCTAGGTTCACTTAATTTTTCTCTTCATCTTATCTAAGTACACATCCCAATAATTAAATTAATGGCTACCAAATCTT